GGTGTCATTTCTGCCCTTTCATACAGCACTGCCACAAATAAGGCTAAACAGGTTCAGCGAGCTAGTCTGAAAACCTCCATGCAAAATAACAGCCGTGAGTGGAAAACAGGAATGAGCTGAAAAGCACATGGTGCTACATTAGAGATCATGAAAATCACTGAACTAGCTTTACTACTACTTTTTTTCTTTACTTCGGGCGATTCCAATATAAAGCTGGTTCAGTCAGCTGATACATCTCAAACTGTCTGCATCAAGTAAACATACAATATGTGTTCCATTAGAAAAAAGCATCTGTGTGAGCAACTACCTGCGAGGGTTGCACCGTTCAAGATGTTTTTTTCTTTCCTTGCCTTCCCTCTCCTTCCTTGAGATGTTTGTCTGTTTGAGTTTGATTTCCCCCTTATATTTTAGTTCAAACTTTGACATCCGTATCTACCCCAGGATGTCTGTCACAAACTGCAGTCCAACATTGTGACAATGCTTTTGTTCTCCCGAACCTCTTTATGAACTTCCTGTTTTCGTATCCTTTTTTCTGTTCTTTCCCTCAAGGTCTGGCGCACCTGATGTTAAACCGCCAAGGTATGGGGTCTATTGGTTTGCTTTTTCCCTCCCAGCCACCTGAACACATTTCCCTTCCCCTGAGATCATTCAGTTAACTGTGCTGCACTAATATTTCCTCTCCTCTTTTTTTCATACTCTTGCCTATTTATTTTCGCTTCCTCATGTTATGCTCACTATTCACTCAATTTTTTGTCCGTCAAACCCCTTGTCCTGACCACTGACTGAGCTTCTGGAACATCATCTTTGACCTCTGCAGTTTTTCGCCAAGGTAATACATCTATGCTCATAGCATCTCTTCGGTTTGGTTTCATGGTGTTTTCAAAGAAAACAGGTCACAGTAATGAAGACTAAAGGTATCTGGTGTATCAAGTGTCTGGTAGGTCTCCACAGAAAACAGTCTTCCCTATAAATATCGTCATCATAAATAAACATAGGATCTAAGGAATCGGATCTGCATTTTAATTTTCTATTCATATTATTGAGATTGTGGAACAGCTCAGAAGAATTCAGATTTGAATGTATTTTCATTGCGTTTTAAATGTATATTTCTCATGGAAAAGAGGTTAGATTGTGTCTTACTTATAAAGAGCTTGCCGTTTAGTAATATTCACATGGCAAAAATGTCCTTTCGCTCCATCTGGTGAATATTTAAATGAAAATATGAACTGTCACTGTTATGTAGAAACTTATATATTCAGAGATTACTGACAAAAATGGTACTTTAACGGAATAATAAGCATGACATCAGCACGGATCAAATAAGCATTATATACTGTCTGTATAGATTAGTCATTTCCAACACGTGCATTGAAATCTAGAAGAAACTTCTCCATCCTGTCTCCATGGCAATCGGTATTGTCTCTAAACCTCTGTGAGACATGGCTTTGATGACCTGTTCTGACAGAATAATACGATGGCACAAGTCCTCAAAGAAATAACTTATCTGACCAGAGAAGCATTGGCGTTGTGTTATCATCACAGCTCCTGTGTTAGTGACTTTTTTCAGATGTATTTGTTGTTTTTCTTTTTTTCAGCTCAGTCTGTGCCAAGTAATGATTCTGAATAATCTACAGCTGTGTTCTGAAATAGCTTTGTCTGTCATCTCCTGTTGTTCTCACACTCTGAATTGTTGAAGGTGTGTGTCAGTACCCTGAGTTTTTCCATGTACATTTTATTTGTGTTGTAGGGATAAAGCTATTATCAAGGCCATTTAGAGCAGATGGAAGGGTTTAAGTTAAGACTTTACTAAACCACGACAGCAGTTTATCAGCCAATACAATTGATGCAGCTTTAGGCTGTACATAACCATGACATTATAGATTAAGGTCTGAATTCTTTGTTTACTAACTGGGACAACATTTCGCATGTTCTGGGGTTGTAATTAGTCTTTATTTGTCGCGTGGGAATGAATGAACAATGCAATGTTTGGTATATTGCCTGCCACCATTGCCTCAAATATACAATGATTAAGAATGTCTGCTGTATTAGAATAACACTGCTCTATCAAATATTCAGTACATCATACAGTAAGTGTGTCCTAAAGCCACCCACAATGTAATTTGTCATGAATTGAGAACTAAATATAATTGCTAATTTTCATGCATGAAAATGAAAAATAAGTTGGTAATTGATTCTGCAAGTAAGATTTTCAGAAATAGCCCTCCTTGTGAAAACCATAATACAGCCGCAATTAGCATCACGACATCATGGCACATAAACTACACATCAAAGTTACATGCTGACATTAAATGCTATAACAAGCATTACATATTAGCAATATTATAGTGTTTAGCCAGGGGGGATGCTTGAGAAGGGGATTTGATATGAACTAATATATGCAGCCTTTTAGGAGATTGTTCATTGTGTGTGTGCGTGTTTTAGTCCCAGAGCTGCTTTGAAACTCTGCAAAATGAGAGATCATTGAGGTACTCACGAAGACATCTAATCTACATATATCTCCAAGCTCAATATCATATCAATATCAAATCTTAAGATGCTGCTTAACCGTCTTCCATGCCTTGGTTTAAAGGTGTCTAACTAACTCCCTGGCCCTGAGAAGAGGTGATGTTAGAACAGTAACTGCATCAGTGCCCCAGGCTTTTGCATCACTTTGATATATGCTTTAAATCTTGATATTAATGTGCCAGCTCAGTGTTTTCACATTAGCTGCATCCTAAGATACATAATGTTGTAAAAAAGGGTACAGGTGGGCTAGTTATAGAAATATACAAATACTTTTCGTTCTGCGGATAGAAAGGCCATTCCTCTCTACAGTTTTTCATGTGTCTTGCATGATGTGACTGTTACAAAGAAACTTTTTGGCCATGGGCGTACTGTATACACAGGTCCTGTTGTTCCCAGGAGGAGTTATATTTTTGCATCTTGAATGTAAAGTAACTCATTATGATTTCAAACCCTAACAGAGGAGGTAGCTGGCACAAAGACGTGACAATGAGTGCAGAAGCAGTACAGAGTTGTTGGTGTTCCCATTATTTTCTGCTGATCTTTTCTTTTGTGATAATATATGCTTCCATTTGCATTGAGGAATGGTTCAGCACAATGGTGTTAAGGCTGATTCCAAGAAGGGATGATGGCTCAGACTCTTCCACCCCTCCACCCCCACTCAGCTATGAGAAGCAAAAACTGCTCTAACTGTGTCATTCAGTGTACAGACTGCAGCCAGTGTCTGTGAAAAGGCTTCCACAGAGGCATTGCCCTCGTCCATGTGGTATTAGAAAAAAACACACGGATGATTATTTTCTTTCAAGCTGGTAAATGTTACCATGGCACACAAAAGGCCACCTTCGGGGTAAGCTGGGCCAGCTCTCTTTTTAGTTACTCTTTACTTTAATAAATCCCTAAAAACATATCCAAATGGGTTTGTGATCATATGCGAGGGACACTTTCATTGAGAAACACTCACATAACAGAGTAACTGATTGCACAGGATGTGCACAGGCTTTGGTGTAAATTATCACAATATTGTCACTTACCTCTTTTATAAAGTCAAATGAAAAGAAATGAGCTCTCAAATTTAATTTAGGAAGACCAGACTACTTATCATGTTACTCAGTAAAAGTAGAGAACAGGTTTTATATTCATTGAATAGTGATGTATGTGCTTTTGCTTCTTTATTTCTTTTTCTGGCTTAAAAAAACATCAGTAAAATGAAGAACTCCATATTTACGCTTTCCACTAATAGCTTAACAAGACACCTTGTGCTCAGTGGTCGAGTAAGTACATAGCTCAAACAAAAGCAAATAATGGGGTCAGTGATCCTTGGCCTTGTGTTGGCCCCGAAGCTCTGAAGCTGACATTTACTGTACATACACAGAAAGCCATAAGGGACAGCTTATCCCTCCAGCTTAAAATAGCTTGCTCAGGAGCAGAAGTTGCAACTAGCAAAGGATATGGCTCAAACCAACCCACTCATGCAGCATGTTGTTGTTATTTATTAGTTAACAATACTCCTCCACGCCAGTGTCAAACTGTGGGATAATGTTTGAAATGATGACCTTGGAATCTTGCTGTGGAAATCAATTTTTTTGTAAAAATGAGTGGGTGTTATAATTCATTGCTCATGTTTAACAGGCCATATCTATCTATCTATCTATCTATCTATCTATCTATCTATCTATCTATCTATCTATCTATCTATCTATCTATCTATCTATCTATCTATCTATCTATCTATCTATCTATCTATCTATCTATCTATCCCAAACATATCCCTATTTCTCATAGTTATGAAGGCGCTCACATGGCATCATGTACTGTACATGAAGATGAACCAAGATTTCCTGAGTGAAGTTATATTGTAGGTGAATTCCAATAATTACATCGACAGACTCCAACATTTTTAATCAACCTCACTATGTTTCTGCCAAAGGAGTTTGAAAAAAGGCTTTATTTTTGTCTCACTGTGCATTTACATTACCCAGAGGACATATCTCGAAATCTGTGCACAAATTGGCCAAGACTGGCGCATTTAGTTTGGCATTCCTATGATATCATTTTTGCATAAAGAATAAAGTCAGTACTCGAGTGCGTTTTTGAGGGTCTGTGTACTAAAAATTCCTTGGCAACAAGTCCACAGTTTGCATGTTTGGATCGGATTGCTTTATTTTCTTTGCGTTTATTTCCAATTAGAAAAATCGAGAAAATGACCAGATTTGTCATTTAGAATGTGAAGAAGATGCAGAGTCACGAGTTTACTCATCCACAGTAAATTCACTTATACAAATGTGAGATATTGCTTAAGAGCTCAACACATGAACATAGATGGTTACTGTTTACATTCTTTAGAGTCATCCGCTCACTGTACTTTATTCAAACATGCCAAAGTTGTCAACAGATCCATTATATGAGATAGTGTTTATCTTCAATATAGTCTGACGACAAGTACAATTGTCTAACATGATGTTATTCCAATCTTAGGGCAGGAGGAGTCGGTGGCCACCTTCAAAGGCAATGAGTTCTTCAGTTACAACCTTTCCCAGACTCCCATTCAGAGTAGTTTGGATGAGATCACGCTGTCCTTCCGGACCCTTCAGAAGAATGGCCTGCTGCTTCACACAGGGAAGTCAGCTGATTACGTCAACCTCTCGTTGAGGAATGGAGCGCTGTGGCTGGTCATCAACCTGGGTTCTGGTGCTTTTGAAGCCCTGGTGGAACCAACCAGTGGAAAATTTAATGACAATGTCTGGCATGACGTGCGAGTGACACGCAACCTCCGCCAGGTGAGTTTTTCTATTTCCAGAGCTTTCCATGATCCTCGCTGACAACACTAAGCCTGCCCTTTTGACACATTTGAGAGAATGACCCAACTTGTCATTTTGCTTACTGCTTTTCAAGTATCTGACTGGAAAGAAATAAACTTAATATCACATTATAAATTCATTCAGCAATTCCGAGTGTAGCATGCAGGTGTGTAAAATAATAAATCCATAATTACCTAGATTCCTCTTAATTCCCAGACCCGTGCAGATATGGTTTGGATAACGTAGGACATAGTGTTTACTGTTGTTTAACATATACTCTGTTGTGCTCTACTCAGCATTTGATAATTTTGCTCCATTTTCCACCCTCAATTATGTGGACTTACATGAGGTTATTGCCCTCTGTATTCTGAAATGAATTACTTCTGAGGACATCACTGAGGGTATTATAATAATTCTGTCTTTTTCTGCTTCTTTAGCATTATTGAGAAACAGATTATGCTCATGCAGTGTTATCTGTTACATTCATTTATCCTAGGGTAGTGATAAAGGATATCCCACAATGCTTTATAATTTCTCAAACCAATTTTCATATTTCCTTGAACCACTGTTAGAAAGAGAGGGCCTGATTTTTTTAGGCTATAGCCTAAAAATATATAGGCCTATAGAAATATAAGCAAATTTATTTGAGAATAAGCAGAGCATAACAAATACAGCCACTGCATGTGTCCAACATTGTGCTGCTAAAATTACAGTCCTGCAGCCAAGAACTACTCAGCTTTAAGGTTTCATATCATTAATACAGTCTGGACAAGGCACTGAATTCCCAAACTAATTTACTGCCAAGATATGTCAGTGTGAAAGTGCTGGCATTTCTCTTGGACTGCAGTCATTTTACAAATTGTGCAGTTTCATAGCACTTTGCAGGATCCGTGTTTTTTTATTCCAAAGTTGTTTTATTTTTCCTCTGTGAAGAAGTGTAATCTAAAGTGGTTGGTTTCAGCAATGAACCGTAACATAATTAACTGCAGCTCATCATAAATTTAAGGATAAAGTGGTGGCTAGAACTGTCAGATACAGGAATCAGTGGATTTTCTGTGGGCTGCTTCAGTTCCTGAGAAATACATATGTAAGGCACTGGAAATGGTATTGATATTTTCTGTATAATGGATCTGTGTGGCTGTTTATTATTTAGATAATTAAATCACTTATGTTAAACAGATGTGTAAATGTGTGAAAATAAGCTACAATGCCTGTGTCTTCCTGCTGACGTAGATAACCTACAATGGCAGCAATATATTCCCACCATTTTATTAAATGTGATTGTTATGAGCATGCTTTTGTTAAACCATAAACACGCATGAAGTGTGTGAATGCATGCCTCGTGTGCCTTGAGTTCAACAGGGTAGATTTCTAATACAATTAGCAAACAATGGAAAGAAAGACCTTTTAAGTTTATGGATTTTTTAGCTTTTCATGCCACACATGGTCATCACTCTGTAAATTCACATGAGCCATCACCAGGCTGAATGTATTCTGTACATGGACTTTGCTTCACACAATCCATGTAAATGTTGGTTTTCCTTTGCTATTGCAGAACCCATTTTCTGCCTAACTTTCTCATCATCACCAATGCGTTCAGCACCGGCCACACAAACCTGCATATATGCTTGCATCCTCCTTCACACATCTATTTCCTTACTCGGTTTTTTTCAGAAAACGGCAATCCAATGCTAGCCACGTCACTTATGCTTTCAGGCATCCATTTGATCCCTGTGTAAATTGCTTTCCTCTCAGATAAGTTACCACACTGACATGTAGATAGTGGAACTGTAACTCCCAAGAGTGTGCTGCTGGAAACTATTTATTAGATCTGGTGGTGCTTTTCTGGCTAGAATTCCTTTTTATTACTTTCTTTATCTTTTTTTCAACATCTATCTTGTCTTTTGTGTCATAGACAAAGTGGGTGGTGATCATTCTTCATGTTCCTGCTCTTTTTTAATCCATATTAGTGTTTCACCTGTACTCGTTACGGTCTGTTGTTTTTCCGAACCGCTGCACATTTCTTTGTGCTCGCGAACACGTGCTGTTTAATAATCAGCTCTGTGCCAAACATTCTGCAGAAATTCTGATGAAAGGTCAAACTTCAAACTGTGCCATCCAGGACTGAAGCCTCAATATTATCCCACTGTGTGCTTTTAATTAATCATGTCCTAATTCTGTAATTCCACTCAAAACAATTGATTCCTAATCCTAGATTTTCAAATGCCAGTAAAGTAATATGGATGTCAGGACGTGGTGTGAAATCATACCAGACATTCCTATGCATTTTTTAGCACTGATAAATGAAAGGAAAAGAAGCATCAATCAGCTCCCAGGCTTAAAAGCTTGCTTTTATATGCAGTAGTCTCAACTCATTGTCAATCCCTCTCACTGTTTATTGTCCTTTCCAGCTAGATAAATAGAGTTCAATGTTCATCAACTATTTGAGACTTCAAATCTTTTTCAATAAAGGTGGCACATTAAAGTTGTATATTTCCTTTCTTTTTTCTCTTCTTGTCCCTCATTCATGAAACAGATTTCCCTGAGCCTAATTGTGAAGCATTAGCCTAATTTAAACTTGCTACAGGTTATTTAATCGTAAATCCATTACATAAGATTATTCCATTTTTTGTGGTTTAATTAAACTACAGAAACAAAGCTACTGTGGTGAACAGAAATGCTCCCCTTCTAATTTTTAATGGTTGCATCTTATTCTAATATGCAATATTTCCTACTGTTAAAATGTTATTTTCAGTATTTTACTGATGAAGAACAAAATGGGGAAAATGTTAATTAGTCAAACACTTTTAATCAGTAAAAGCAACACCACTGAAAGGCGGTTAAATGATGGACACTGAGGTTGCACTAGCTGTTTACCTAAGTGGTTTTATCTCACTAACATGGTCCCTGATATTTTACTGGCCTGATTTTAAGGGTTATATGTGTAATGTTTTTTTTCTATTCAGACTTCAGAAAATGGCTGTGAATGGTCTGAGACATGAGTACAAAGAACAACATCTTTGGAAATGCATGCCCACTGCTTTGTTGAAGCTGACATTTTTATTTTTCCCCTTGAATGAAATTTACAAAAAAATAATGTTTTTTTTTTAAGTTGAAACAAAGAAATGGTAATTGTTATGACATATTACTCCTTAGCGGGAGCTGTTACATTTCTGCAGGAATTAATCTTAACAGTGGGCTCATTGTCATGGCAACAAGCACATGATTTTTACCTCCACAGCTCTGTTCAGCCATTCATTTCCTTCTCTGTGTACAGATGACACTGATATGAGAATTATCTTGTTTTGTTTATGCTAATGTACTGGTAATGCAGCTTCCTATTCTGATATCGTTCATCTTCAATTAATTGAGTATGTTGTAGCCTTCATACCGCTTTGGAGCCAAAATATCTGCAGAAGGAACAAATTTATGGTGTTGATTACACTGCTATCCTACTCATATATCGGAAACAGGGATCAACTGAGATTAGTGAACCCTTCAAAGCTGTTCTTGTAATTGCCTCCAAGTGCAAACATTAAGGCTAACTCAACCAGAATCAAGAAATGAAGCATGAAATAATTAGGCCAGTTCTATCTGTTTTCTTTTTTTCATTCGCTTCCTGTCTCATCATTTATTTTTCTCACATTTTCTCATGATTTCTTTAGGTGACAATCTTGGTGGATGGGATTCTCACCACCACCGGCTACACACAGGAGGACTACACCATGCTGGGCTCTGACGATCTCTTCTACATAGGCGGCAGCCTGAACACCGCAGACCTGCCGGGCTCCCCAGTCAGCAACAACTTCATGGGCTGTCTGAAAGATGTGAGTACAGCTTGACCTCACACAGAGGTTCGGAAATATTATCCAGCCGTCATTAGATAGCGCTGCTCCATCCTAAACGGAGCATGTTCAGTGTATAGAAAATCACCCCTAACATTCATATTGATTCTCTTGTTGTAGGATGTTTGAAGGAGATTCTTTATGCTGAAAGGCAGCGCTTTTCAGGGCACATGCGTTTAGTGTTTCCTCTGGGAATCCCTTTGAGATTGATGTACTAACATACATAAGAAACAATCGCTTCTCACATTCAGTTCAGACACACTGCCTTAAACCGAGTTTTCATCACTACTTTCACATTTTTGAAGTGTTTTCACTCCAGCCTGCACCTGTCACATCGATTACCTTCAGTGAGCAAGACGAGATCAAGCACTTGGAAGTACTATAGACAAAGCACCGGGTGGTGGGTGAATACCCATTGCATGAAAATGTAATGAACTGACTAGTTTAGAAGAAGAAGAGTTGTGCATTGATGAGATGAGTATTGAATTTGAATTAATCAGTATTGAATATCTAACGTAGATATTTTGTTGACATCAGAATGGCAAGTCTTTCTTGGGGTAATTGACCAAATTACACAAACGCATTGAACTCTTTTCAGAGACATTTACATCACAGAGGATGAGATTTGTTTAATAATTGCTCACAAACTGTTATAAAACAGCTCCTGATCCTCTTTAAATCCAGCTGCAGGGGATGCTGCAGTGAGCACAGCACACCAAGACAAGAATGCATCACTTAGATAGACGATCCACAAAATGCACTAGGCAAATAGAGTGGAAATAACCTGATTAAGCTATATGTAGTAACAGCAGCAGCAGGTTGGAGCAAAGCATAACAAGCAGCAGCTTCATTATGTGTTAGAGCGAGAGCTTGGCTGTGTCTATACACTGCCTTAAAGGTGGGTTAATGCCTGATTTTTTAAAGCAACCGTGTGTTTGATATCAGTTCTTCACTAGATGTTATATGAAGAAGATTTCATTCGTCTTTAGGTTTAAAATTTTCTTTCTGTAAAACCGTCTTCTTTCTCTTTAGTTGGTTATACTTGCCAGCAAATGGTCATTTGTTGGTAAATTTTGTAATGGTGGTTTTAAAAGGAAAAAATCTGACTGTTAATTAGAATGTTTGATTTGTTGTTTGTTTAGTACCGGCTGCACCAAAAGTCTTAGGCTTTTAGATTTGCTGTAGGCATGGCAGAATGGCAGGTCATGATTGCCTCTGTTCGAGGGATTATTTTTAGTCTTTGCTCCTTGCTGTATCTTTTGTTATGAATTCTTTGCCATCTGAAACCATGGCAACTCTATAAAGTGTTATACCAATGTTCCTATGGTATAGTGATTCTTTTAGCTTTTCACTTTACCATTAATCCTTAATTTAGTCACAACTCATCTTTAAACTGTCATTGCCTGAATAACCCACAAAAGACAAATGGGGGTTGTTTCAATTTTACTTTTCACTTCGGTATTTCATTTGGTCACGATGTGAGAGACGATGACAAAAAAGGAAAGCGAATGTGGAATTGCTGGTTGGAAACAGCAAATCATTTTAAGGTAAATTTATTTTTTTATTATCATGGGGATGGATTGTTCTGGGTTCAATCTGTGCTAATATAATCTTACATCAGAAGTTTTAAACTGATGTCTCAAAAACTAGAGTTCCCAAAGACACAATGATCCACATCAGAATTCTTTTGCCAAATAAAAAAAACCCCTTATATTTGAAGGTAAATGGCTGCAGAATTTAATTTACAATGGAACAAAATTGAATGTTAAGTATTTAAATAATTTTTCAGTGCTTTTGGACATTAAAGGCGGGGCTGTTTTTCAGCAGCTTGGCAGCTTGCAGACCTTTTCCCCTTCAACATGGCAGTGCGCTTGGACGCAGTGCCTTTCAGCTCATTGACTCTTGTCACAACACATCAGAGACTGTCTTCCCCTTTCTTTTGACCCACATCAGTTCGCTTAGATGGTGAACTGATCCACCGAGGACGCTGTCTCCTCAGCCCTTCACACCACTCTGTGCCACCATGAGCACCCAGGGAGCGTACACAAGACAGCTGTTTGTCTGCTACGGTTTGGCTCTTAATACCATTATCCCTGACATCCTGGTGGAAAAGCAGGACTTTCCTCCTGCCACCTGTGTTGGCTTGCCACAAAGCCGTGTGATAGATATGCAAATTACACAACCTTGGTGGCCCTTATGACCACAGAAAATGAGTTGGCCTACAGTGATGATGAGCAACAGCTGTAAGAGAGGTGTGTGTAGGCCGAATACCAAAAAAATCTAAGGAAAGGCTCATTAACTTCAGAACTGCCAATGGTACCGCCCATCTCCACATTCATGGAGACGGCAACGAAAGGACCCACAATTTTAAATATTTGGAGATTCACATGTCTGAACTGGTCAGCAAACCCTTCATCAGTGTTACGTAAATGCCAGGAGTTCAGTACAGTGACTGGACTTGAACTGGAACCTTTAGCAAGGATAATGATCCTGATCACATCCGAAATCCACCAAGGAATGGTTCAGAGAAAAAGCAAGGAGGGTCAGGAGAAAATCTTCATATCTTACTGGAATTTTGTTATCAATTAGTGTAATAACAGTGAAATGGACAATGGTTTAAAAACTGACATTTACAAGACGTCTTCTACCTGACCCTTATTCAGTGGTAAAAATGTATGCATTACCTTTTTGATTGTGTATTAAAGGGATTTTTCTTTACAAAGTAGTGTGCGATTTACCAGGGTTCGACATAGTGTGCATCATTAGTGCAGCCCTCGAACAACGGTCTGGTTGGAATTTTTCACGTGATTTGGCGGTGTTGTTAGTTGCTAGAATGAAGCCGCAGGGAGCCGAGACCACATTGTGGAGGGGAGAGGAGTTCTCCTTTCGTGCTACCAGTCCAATTTAGTATTTGAACACACTTCAGCTATTCATGGTGTTTTCATTTTGATTGTGTGTTTTCCTGTGGATGTTTTGCGTCTCAGTTAGCTTTTCTTCATGCTTTAGTTGTCTTTTTTCATTCCTGTTGGTTTTTCTGTTTTTGTTACACCCACTTTCAGTAAGTTGATTGCTATCACATGTTTTTAGTCATCATTCACCGCAGTAAATATGTGTTTTTTCTGCCATTATTCAACGTTTGTCCCTGCCACATTTGATCTCTTTTATGGTATACTTTCTTAGATTTCCTACTGTGCTGTGGTAATGGTTCATCACTAAGTAAATTAAGTCTTTTGTCATTTTGCCCACACCTTAATTTGGGTTCTCCAACAGATTTCCTTCAATACAAACATTATTAACCAAACAACAATCTCACTAACAAAATGTAAACAAATATTAACTTTTTATAATCACAAATGTACTCTGAAAACAATCAAAATATATATAATATAGCAATAATATATTTTATTTATTTAGTTAGAAAGTCCATCACCTGAGGAAAGCGGGGCTCACAACGTGCACTACACTAAAGAATCTTGCAACCTTTTACATTTTCTTCCTCCTGATTTACCCTCTGAAATGTTTAAGCAAAACATAGTTTTTTCTTACTGTGATTCTGCTGTAGTTGTAACCAGTTGTAGTTGTAGTAGTAGTAGTAAACAACAGTTAGTTTTTTGGAATGCCAGCCTAAAACCTTACTCAAATATTTTAACATCTTAAGAGTTGCTAAGCTGGATCATTATGAATTTTGTTTATATTAAAAACAAGCATGTTTGCCTGTCAAGATGGCAATCTAATCTAATCCAATCTAATCTATTTCAGGGTATTTTTAGATGACGTTGGTCATCGTGTAATTTAGCATGCATTGTTGTGTTCATAGATGAAGACAAGGCAGGGATCTCATACTCTGGTCCTCAGGTGCCACTGCCCAGCTGGTTGTAGATGTCTCCCTGCTTCAACTCCGCTGGTTTAAATTGAATAAATCTCTTCAGACTGTGAAGTTCTTTGCAGGTCTGCCAGTGCTGCATTGATTTGAATCAGCTGTGTTGAAGCAGGGAAACATCTAAAACCTGCAGGACAGTGTCCATCGAGGACCCAAGTTTAAGATCCCCTGTATTCCCCTGTTTCCCTTAATTTGACCTGCTGGAGTTTTCAGTCCTGTTTCCTTTTTTCACAGTTACATTCACTTACCAATAAATCTTGTCTCATATTTCAGCTAGTTCCATCGGTCCAGATCTTGGTCTTCCAGATCATGATAATCCTTTGACCTTCATGGTTGTACGTTGCCTATAACCTCTTGTGGGATCAATTGCACATTAAATGTCACTGAGGCTGCATGTAATTGAGCCATCCAGTCATCATATGGTTGATAGGGTTCATCACGTCATGAGCGGGTCTTTAACCAACTTAGCTGTCACTGGAGATATTGGGGTCATATTAATCCAAGAGGAAAAAAATTATATCTAGTGCCTGGTTTTCCTGTAATTACCTACTTATTAACTTTTTCTATACTATATACTATCAAACTGTATTCTGGGTGTGTTGTTTGGAATATAGTCACTTGCTTAAGTTTTTGTCCTGGAGTTGGATTTAACCCTTTTCCCTTTACCTGTTTTGGAGGAAAAAAATGTATGAAAAAATAAATAAATAAATAAAAAAGGGAATTGTAACTTCTGAGACATTACAGATATGATTCTATTTCAGATTTGGTGGCACTACCAAAACATTTTAATTTTTTGGTCTATTTGGTCAGTTTCTTGTGACCTGTAATTTTCCTTAAAGGAAGAAGTGAGCTGGGTTCTCATAGACACCGTTGATCCCCTGTTAAATCGGAGGGGTTTTATTATCCCCATGACAACTGTGCTGTCAGGATGGTAATCCCCTGGTATGGTCTCAAAAGGCAAATTGGTCGGACAGGCCAGGAGATGTCAGACTGCAGCTTCACGTCACAGAATAGAAGGTTTGAACTTTGCCTGGCCTTCTTAGTGTCCTTCCGCTGGGTGCTAGGCAGGTTTTTCCCTAGGAATGATATTTTCTTCCCAGGAACCACGGTGCCCATATGAGTAATGACTGTGAGATATAAAAAACTGTGAGTTGGAGAAAAGGCCTCTCTGATCTGAAGTCAAGCAATGTTGCTGTTGATCAGAAACCTGAGGGTGATGAGTTGAAGCCATTGGTGATGAAGCCCGCGGTTAGGCAGAAGACCCCAAGGACCCTTTGGTCATTTTATTGTTATGTGAATCAGCTGACAACTGGCCAAAATGGCTACAGTGTTAGTGATTCTTGAAGCCAAACTCGGGCATGCGAGGGATTTGGTGAGGCCTTTTAGAAAGACTGGATTTCTCTCTGGAAGTAGCCTTGCCTTTGAGATAAACTGAAGGGCTCGATCACCAGGTGTAGAGCCTCTGTTCCCAAATATATAAAGGAGAATGTTGAGATGCCTCTTGGTTGTTTTCCTTTGGAGATATTTTGGGCAATTGGGTTGGGGCCATGGGAGCTGTGCCATTACAATGACAGATTCCCAGTTTATTTCAGGCTGAATAGGATGATATTTTTGAAAACCTGATTGAGAGACTTGCCCAGAGACTCAAAAAAGTGAGGACCAACTTTTGGCAGTCACCTCTCTACACATGTCAATTTTTCTAAGGTGGGTGATTTGTAAACCTCCAGCAGCTTGTAATGGGTTTAAAGCCGAGCAGAACACTGCCCCCTACTACCCCCACAACCCTCACATGATCTCAACAACCCTAATGGCTCACACAATAATATGGTTTGTTAACACGCGTGTGCCTTCAGAGATCCTCTTGGATGAGAGTTGAGCCATCTCTAAGAACCGAATAAATTACAACCCAATAAGTCAGCAATAGGTTTAATGTGTCGTGGTCCAAAATTTTCCATTTTGAGTATTATAGTTGATATGCTTTAAAAATGTTTTCCAATAAACATTCCAATATGAAAAGTAATTGTATTTGTTAAATCATTGGTCAAAGTTGTTATGAAAATATGTAATGTGAACATTTTACAGCATGCATCTGTGGAAAGGCTTTAAATAAGACAGTTTACATAATTATTTTACCATCTGCATCCAGTGAAATGAAAATGAGATTTTATTTGTGGATAGATTTATTGTTCCAGTATTGCTGCCAATGCTGCAACCTCCGCTCTGTGGGCGGTGCGGCTGGTGATGGTGTTCAGATGTAGTGCTGCTGTGCACAACCACATAGATATGATATGGGTAAGCAAGGGGAGCAGATGTCAGTACAAAAAGTCAGGGTAGGATAACAAATCAAAAAAGTCCCAGTAATGAGTGGGAGTGGTGGCACTGGCAAAATTATTATGAAATGGGATCCAACCACAAGGAAATCCGGCAGCAGGGTTCAGAAAAAGAGACCTGGTGCTTTGTGATGAACCGGGGTGCGAAGTTCTGTGGAGGGTAATGAAAAAGTGCACACACATGTACTCATCTTAATCACTAAAGGAAAGAAAAACCAGAGCACCAAAAGACTATATACTGTGGAAGCAGCAGTTATATTTAGGGAATCCTATTTTATTGAATGTTACAAGAATGTGTCTCGAGTAATCTCTCCAGACATCACACGATAAAGGATGTGAGTGCTGTGGGGTAGGTTCATCAGGGTCATCCAGTGCTGGAGGAGTAATGGCTACTTAGGGGTCAATGACACAACTATGTCACCACAAATGGACACAGATTTGTCTTTTTAAGTAAAATGTATTGTTTTGTCAGACTGAATACGCCACCCTTCCTAATAAGGTGTGTTTTAATGAGGAATGTAACGATATGGTTATTACGATGGCTGTTTGCAGCACTCAGGGTTTTGGCTCTTAACATTTTGCAGCTCTTCTTAACTGGAACATTAATGACACAAGGACTTTGTTATTTGACACTAGTGGAGCGTTATTCCTGTGTTTTGGGTGTTCTATAATCCATGTCACACACAATGAGCATTTGAATCTGTGAAATAGGATTCCACCTCCATCATTGTCCTTTGGCTTATGTAATATTTCCGTAGAGGTCACCGTGACGTTTTGTAGCCATCTGTGCACTTTTGTGGCATTGTTGGTTGGAAACTGCAAGCGTGCTGTTCACCCTTTTTCTCTGCAAGTGACTGACTTGATTGACTTCCCGTTTTGAAAATTGTCTGTTACACTTATTTCTCGATGGTCAGTTTCACCATCTGATTTCACTGGCTAATTAGTCACACTGAGGCAGTGTGAAGTGTGATATTGGCTTACGCTGCTTCTCAGCTCCGCTATTAGTCCTCTGTGCAGCGTGGTGTGTCACCTCAGGCAGTGACTGGTTGCAGAGTGAGGTGGCAGATAACAGTGGGCTCGGGGTGACTTACAACTGATACAAAATGAGACAAGGATTATAGTGTCCTGCTGTGCATATTGATGAACCCTGAAAACCCTGCAACAAAAACACAAAGAACCCTGCACAGAGATTCTGTTGAAGATGATTTCATATATTTGCAGATACTGAAGATATCGAATCAATAGCAAGACGCCCCCCCAAAAAAGACAAATGGAAGTTCCTGTATATATTTTGACTGTATGCTGGAAAAGATTAAGTCTTTCACGGTACCAATGAGTGAAGTTGAATTTTTAATCCCAGAAATCCCTTTCCATGAAGTGATTAGTTCACCATTAAATATGAGTTGAACATTGATTGTGATAGGATGTGATTACGTGCGAGCTGAGAGTGATGAGTGCATGTAAAATATGGATGCAGCCACAAGGTCTGAAGCATCAAACTGACGCAGAGAGAGGGGTTATGCCGCTCATGAAAGAAATGAACAAATCTTGTCCCCCAAATCCAATATGGTGCCATTTACATTAAGCTATTTTGATCAGTGTGCTAATGTTTCTTTGTAGAAAAGAACATATGTAAAAGACTGGAGTGTGAGGACTAACAGCTGGAGTGCCTGGTTAAAGTCTACACACATGGTAGTTTATTCTAGGAATTTGCGCTATGTCGTTTGATGACCTTATGAGCTATATGAGGAAAACTGCATTAAAGAAGACTTAGAAATATAGTAACAACCTTGGTCTGTCTGCCTTTTTTTCTATGTACCAAGGATTGTGAATGCTTTAAGAACACTGAGGATATATAGAGAGATCCTTGAAATTTCACAGAAATAAGAACAAATCCTTCAACAGATCACTGACATCCAAACAGTCATTCAGTTTTGAGATATGGCAAACAGAGCCATTATGGATCCTTATTGGACTTTGAGAAGCCTCTATGTTGAGGGCTATTACGACAGCAGGTTCAAATTTGACATCAAATAAATCAAATGACAGTGGACAGGGTTTGAAACTGCTCTCTGCACTGCCCTGCAGTCTACACCCACATATATATTTTGTTGCTTTGAGGTCTGCCCAATTTTTGGTTGAGAAGATGCAATACTGTGGCCACAATCTGTCTTCTCAGTCACATCCTGATCTGAGGCTGAAATTAAGCTGAATCTGTAAGATGATCTCAACTGCCATCAAACACATTTCCAGTCTCCGAGCCTTTTTGATTTTGCCCAAAAGATTTTAGTCTCATTCCAACCTGGAGCAGGTTTGAGATATGACAACAGTCGTCATTGAAGGCTCTTCATTTTCTGATATTTTTTAAAATCAATCTGATGATTATTTGTTGAGGTGCTCATCTTTTTCAGAGATTTTCTGCCAAGCATTTTTTCAAAGCTTCTGTGAAGCAAACCATCTGGCAAGTTGTTCAGATTTACTCCTCATTCTTCAGTAATGACTTAAAAAAACACACAAGATGGTTACAACTGAATGTGTAAATTCCGGGATGGTGACATGTTGGCTGCATGTGATGAGTAACATTCACTTAAATACACTTAATGTATTCACCTGTCCCACTGTCATCTAACCACGATATCTGTCTCAATATGTCTCATTTATCAGGTGGTCTACAAAAATAATGAATTTAGACTGCAGCTGTCACGCCTGGCTGAGCAGCGGGACCCCAGGATTAGTATCCATGGTGATCTGATATTCAGCTGTGAAAATGTGGAGGCCCTGGAGCCGGTAACCTTTGACACGCCGTCTGCCCACTTGACACTGCCCAGGTGGAACACCAAGAAGACAGGCGCCGTATCCTTTGACTTCCGCACCACAGAGCCCAGTGGCCTGCTGATGTTCAGCCACGGCAGCCTGCGGGGTACGCTGCCCGACAGGAAGCCTCGTGCTGACTTCTTTGCCATAGAGCTGATGGACGGTTTTCTCTATCTCGTGATGGACATGGGCTCTGGCAGCCTTAAGATCAAAGCCAGTAACAAGAGGCTAGACGATGGCGAGTGGTGCCATGTTGATTTCCAGAGAAACGGCCGCACCGGTAAGCTGAGTTTATGTTTGAGATGGTTGGGGAAGCCTTCCTTCCGCTTCTTAGTCTCTCCAGTTTTAACTGTTTAACTGTTATGAAGGGCTTCTAGTTGTGATATGCCAGCATTGATACAGTCACATCCACACTTGTTGCTTTTTCGTTTCTACAACAAAACATGCATGCATGTTAGCCTTTAAGTAGAAGGAATGTCTACAAATGACATTTCAAAATCTGTGTAAACCTATTTAACAAAAGATTTGTACAACATAAATCTCTACTTTATTCATACAATCCAAATGACACACAGTGTTCTTTTTCATTCCTTATATTAGGTTTCCATGGTAATATATTTATTGTTTATTCTTATTTTTTCAGAGCAAGTACTAGTATATTCCTTATTACCAGCAGTACCAGTATAGTACCAGCTAAAAAGGACTGACTACATTTTTTAAGTACAAGTACATTTAACACATCCCTGTTGTCTACTTCCTCATTCTCATACTTTTTTCTTATTTAACATACCCACAATCCCTGCAATAACAAAATTTTACCTCGTAACTCACTGTTAATGTTTTAATCCGCAGGCTTTATTTCTGTGAATGGCCAGAACGTTCCATTTACTGCCAATGAAGGCAGTGAGATCCTCGACCTGGACGGAGACATGTATCTTGGTGGTTTACCCGAAGATCGCCAAGGCATTATTGTACCCCCTGAGGTGTGGTCAGCCTCCCTGGGCCTGGGCTTTGTGGGATGCGTGAGGGACCTCTTCATCGATGGGCAGAGCCGTAACCTGTGGAGGATGGCGGAGGTTCAGACTGCCACAGGTGTCAGCAGCTTCTGCACCAGAGAAACTCACGTGAGGTGTGCAAGAGACACCTGTGCTAATGGAGGATACTGCAGAGAGGGATGGAACCGTCATATCTGTGACTGCAACGGCACTGGCTACCTAGGTCCCAATTGTGAGAAAGGTGAGAGTTTCTTGAAGGAATGGTTGCAGACTTGGTAGATAAGTGGATTTAAAATACTGCTGCAAAGCTTTTAACACACTATGAGTAGTATTTTATTCATAAACCAAGGTGTAAAAAGAGACTGCAGACAGAAATAATGTAGATACAGAGAAAATCCATCATCACACCTAATACTCACCATTCCCAAACAATAATAATTTCGTTTGCAACTGTTGTTGGTTTGTGCTTTATGATATCATATCTGTTTAAATGAGTGCCACGCTCTCATTTCAAAATATTGTTTTTTTTTCTACAAAGCAGTCTGGTGATGGTTAAAGCACAATGGAGAATAATGTTTTTCATTTAATCCATTCAGAAGTAAATTGCAGTATTTTGCTACAGTAGAGTGATTCATTAATGAATTGTCTGTAACATGAGGTTGCCAGTGCTATGAGTGTTTCATTAGAAATGCAGTGGTGCTTCTGCACAGTAATTCGGCCTGAATCACTCAGCATTAGCCATGCAGATGGTTTCCTCACAGCGAGGCCAAATTATGCAGATCCATTGGCAACTAATAGTATGAGGGATATATAAAAATCCCCCCCTGTATTGCATTGAAATGGGTATAAATCTTACAGAAATTTAATTGCAACCGCAATCTAGCCCCTCTCTTTGTGTGCTCCAGGCTTTTTCTGCCATCTGGTGTGATTGATGAAAACTGCAGTTAAAATCAAATCACGCAGCACCAGAGATAATCTCTCAAAAGAAAAAAAAAAATGTTTTCCGTTGAGATATAGTTTGTATTCTTCACCGAATCTTGTTATTTGATCTGAGCTTCAGTGTTGGCTGACAATATTGGTGAAATCTTCCAGAGGCCACCACGGTGAGCTACGACGGCAGCATGTATCTGAAGGTGGTGCTGCCCAGGACGCTGCACACGGAGGCCGAGGATCTGTCGCTGCGCTTCCTGTCCCAGAGGGCCTTTGGCCTGCTGATGGCCACCACGTCTCAGCAGTCGGCCGACACTCTGCGTGTAGAGCTAGACGGAGGCAGAGTCAAACTCACTGTGAACTTGGGTAAAGCGGCCACGGCAAATACGAGCAGATGATAGCACCTGACCTTTTCAGACATGTCACCGAGACAGATGGCTCAATATATTTGTTTTGTCTGAGACTCTTCCATATCCATCCACATGCAGAGTAACTACAGTTGCCTAAAAAGGAAAAGCACAGCCCCAAGTTTCTATTCATCTAGTCATGCTGCTATAATTAGTATGTTGCCTTTTGTATGAATTTAAGATAATAATTGCCACCAAAGTAGGTTGTTTTAGAGGAATCTATTTTAAAAAGTAGAGATAGGCAAATATCTTTTAAAATGCTTTGAGTCATACTAAAATATTAGCTTGTCGTGACATTAAAACACAAGGCAGAGTATCTGTCGGGGGGGCTACAGGTTTCACAGGTGTAATGAAATGACTCATTTCCTATAACAAAAACAACTGCACCGTTTGGTTGAAATCAAACCCCTTTGCCATAAGTCTATTTTGACTGTTACTGAGGCCCTTTTTCTTGAAAGAACCATTTCAAATGCAGTAACCATATTAGCATATCTGAAGATGTGAGATGAGCCTCCTGTTTCAACACTATTACAACAGTGGTCAACACACTGATGATTTATTAGCTTTAATTGTATTGCATTGATAAAGTATAAACAGTCCACTCTTTTATCATCCATAAAAATAAGATTTTGTTTCAAGTGACTGTTTTTATAGGATGACTCAACATGAATGTCCTTACTGCTGCTTTGTCATGTAGAAATCTAGATGGTAAAATATTGAATTTGTCTTTATTTTTCAGAAAAAAATTAAACACAGATGTAATTTTCCATTCTAGTATTAATACGATCCCAACATCACATATTGCAATTTCTTATGTTTAATATATAGACAACGAACAGAGAGGGAGAAAGAGAGCAAGAGAGTGGGAATAAAGAATATGACATTTGACAAAAGTCTCATTTAGTTTCCATGGTAACCTTGTCATTTAACCACTCAACCTCACCAGAATTCTCTCACAGTCCACAGTTCTTAAATTTCCTTTAAGGTAGAATGGAAAATATACAATGACTTTGACAAAAAGCGATTTTTGTATATTATTTGTAAGCTTTTGGTTTTGAGACAAACATGGAGAGACATGCTGGTATGAAAATGCTTTCATGCTTTCAGGGAAATTGGTTGTGGACAGCTGCAGCCAGCTGGATGAGGCTTCTCAGTCAGTCATTTGCTTAGGCTTCCCAAAATATAAATCTTGATATGCCACATACAATATCAAATGTAGCCATTTCTGCCGATTACATCCAAACTACAGAACAAAAAATACAGAACAAACCTTGCAAAGGAGCCCAAAAAAGTGCTGCATCAATATTTAAAGAGCATTTATAAAAATTTGGCAGAACGTATTTTAAAACACAAAAAATCCTCCTGAAAAAACTAAGGGGTTTGTGCCTTTTTAAGCAACTGGGTGGGTGTTTATTCTTCCCCTTCTCTGCCTCCACCTCTCTGTCTCTTCTCTCAGTTCATCCCGGGGTCAGGTCCCACCTGACTGTCTCTGCTCTTTCAGCCCTTCAATGGCTCGTCTGCAGTTCAAGGAGAGGGCAGTCGGAGACCTGATCCGTCATTACTACGAAATATCACCTCTTAAACGTCTCACACTGTCGATAGTCCCTCCGTAGTTCAATCCCCTCGCATTTACCGGCCTGTCCAGTTTAGAGTCACCTCGCTGAACATGAAGTGCTAGTGACGGATGCACACACAGGCCCGCACACCTGCAGCCGAAAGTCCCTGGTCTCTGGCTGTCCGTTTCCACTGCTCTGTGATGGTTGACAGCTTGAGAGCACTCCTCCGCCACGAGACTTACACCGATGTATTCTTCTACGCTTAGCTTGGTTTAATCATTCAATATGTGCAGATGATGAGTGGGTGAAGCCATTTGGAGGCCAGTGATTTGAACACCCTGCACAGATTTATAAAATATTAACGACTATAAATATAAATCAGCATAGGCTAAACATTATTTTTTCAAGGTGTAAGTGTCATCGTGGCTGTAGGTCGTGCAAATCGCCACTTTCCCCCTGCATTTAACTTGTGTAAGAGATTGCCATTAGTTCCACTGAGCAAAGAGGCTTGATAGCAATTTGAATTCATGCAGTCTCTGAGTTTCTGAGTAGAGGTGCATCAGTCAGAAAGTGTTACACTGCTAGAAACAAGCATTCTTACTCTTGTTAGTTTTTTGACTGACTTTTAAATCAATCAGTCGTATTAATGTAATCTTTGTAGTTTGTGTGGATGTTTGAAGAGATCTGAGAAAGTACAATTGAAGCCATAACATTTGGGACAATGCTTTCCATGAAACAATAGAATGTCTTACTTTTATTTGACATGCTCTTTAGGTTCTGTTATGAACACAATGTTCATTAATTGGATTTGATAATTACTTTTACATTTAAATTTTATGCGATTTGCATTTTACACAGTGTCCCAACTTTATTGGAATTGTGGTTGTAAACCTTAGAAATCATATATATAAGACTGTGATTAATTCATTGTAAAAGGATATGAGCCTTTTATTGCAAATTCTGCATAATTCTACCATGTACGAGGACTTTCAATTCTTCTTTAAAGTGTATACATTTTTCTTCTTTAAGAAGCTTTAAGATTATTAATTGTGGCTCATTTTTCATTAATGTCTGGATAAGATGCTCAAATCTAGCACATGCTCCATTTTCTATTTTTGTTATCTGCTTCAGACGACTTTCCTCACAGCTATGTGTGCTTGCTGAACTACCCCAAAGCACATGTCAGAAAAACTGTCGTCATGGTTTCTGAAACAATCCCGTTTTGCCAAATCCAAATTAATGCAGCAGTCAATGCTGAGGCAGAAAACTCAGAAATACAGGTGCACCTTTACTTTTGTCATCAATAATACGCCTATTGATTTTAACTCTGAACTGCTCTGCTGTGCCTCCAGCAGAGCCAGACACACTCACATTGTCCCTTTTCTCACTGGTCCTTTTTCTCTAACATTAAGAAAACTGCGGGGAGGAAAGTGGCGGTTTAGACTCTCCAGGCTGTCCCCGGATGGTGGGCTCTGAAAAGCACTGAACTGTCTGCAGAATGTACCTTGAAGGATGTGAAATATTCTCCTCTTTTGTGCTGTTCTTTTTTTCTTTTAATCTCACCATTTCACTCTCTCTCTCACCAGATTGTATCAGGATAGACTGTAATCTCAGTAAGTGTCTCCTATAATTATCTACCGTACCATGATGTAGAGAACATGCACTGTGGTATATTTATGTGCTTCTTGCCTCTATAGTCTTTTGTGAAACAGAAAATAATTCATTTATTCTGGTCCGTATTCTTTGTTCACTTTTGCTATTATCTTTCTCACAGGCACCATTATAAGATAAGAACCTCACTGTGGCAGTCAGCTGTACAGTTTAACTTAATTGGATCTTTCGCAGTACACTCAAAAAAACCAACAATCAATGTTGCACATCTCCTTTTTATTTAGTGCCACATTATTTTAATTGAATGTGTCAAAATCTGGCATATAGTGGTTTTGACAATGTCAATTCATTTGCTTCCTCTAATTAGCCTTTGTAGCTGATTAATGGGTTCAGTTCAAATACAATGAGCAAATCCCTTTCTTGAAGAAAACAGTATTCTATCTCACTTTAGTGAGAAAAAACAATTCTCCTGCTGAGTAGTTACTCTTTTGACATCCGATTAGAACTTTAATGTTTTATATGTGATCAATAGATTGATAAGAGACAAGAAAATCAGCTATCAAAAGTAATTGTTGGTGCATAAATGTTGATAATTTGTTTGTGAAAAAGTATTAATTTGTTGCAATTGAATCTCACCATATTAGGAGGGGAACGGTTGTGGGGTTTAATTGTGTTTTGGTAAATCTAATCATTAGATGCCAGTTTTCATGTTGACGCCTTTTGAGGAGCAGCAACCATGCAAATATTTCTCATTATGCATCAGCAGACACTTGTTTTTCTGTTAATGACTTTGATTGCACAGGAAATTCTGGAACAGATGTTCAGATAAATTAACAACGGAAATGTATTAAATGTCTAGAATTATAAATGACAAATAACTACATAAATGACGTCACTATAAGCTAAAAAAAAAAAGAAAACTGTCTGAGGAACATGCCATAAAAACCTTACACTGTCTTCTATGGACATGTACCTCAAACCATAAAATGGGAATTTATGTAGGTATTCTTGTAAAAATTAAATGGTACCGTAGTTTAAGTTCAATGAAGGCTGAATTTATTATGGAGAACATGGTAGTTAACCTATTGCAAGAGGCATGCAACTTAAATTGTGGTTCAGATAATAACAGTATGAGAAATGATAAAACCCGTTACCAAAGTAAAAGTTATTAAAATCCTCCTATACCGTGGTGGCCTGTGCGCTCTTATGAATGTTAAGACTGTAATTTAGTGTCGACTGAAGGCTTGTTTCCATTCCTTATTAATAGTTTCTGAATACTTTAAAATTAAATGTGTAAATGTTCATGTTCCTCACTGATTTGCAGGAAGTGTAGCTGTTAGACCATTTTTCTGATCATATGAGATTAAAGGGTGCCTTACAACAGCTGTTTCAGGATTCTCGTATGCATCTTGACATTTTATCATCTCAAATGGAAAACCCTCTCACCAACAATTTGTAATTCTGTCTCATGTTGATCTATTAATCTATGATGCAGCCTCTAGGCCTCTTTAGCAAATAAGGACACATTTGCTTTAATGATAGATTTACTGCCTGATCTACTCCCTGTACCTTTGTAATTTATCTCCTTGAACAAGGTGAGTAGAGTGTGTGTTTGTGTGTGTGAAGAAGAAGAGCCTCTTTAATACTACGGTAATTATAATTAGCTGTTTGCAGTAACTCGATGATACAGATTACAAAGTATGTGTGTGTTTATCTTTTATCTTGGTAAAATGTAATTTAGAGAGTGTGTTCCCTTTGCCAGCAGATGGCACTATACCTTCATGAACTGACAGAGAATATGTTCCGAATGTGTCCGTGTTTAAAGATAAGCTTGGTGAAAATCTATTGCTACTGCTAAACGCAGTCCAGGTGGCAGTTGCCTTTTTAATAAAATTTATCACTAGATCACATGCATCACCAGATGAGTGCAGTCATACATTTTACATTCCGTCTCACAGTGAATTTGAAATGTACTTGTTTGACTGATTATCTGATCAGTGATCACAGAATTGATCATTCAGATTCTCAGACGAAGTAACAAACCCTTTAAGGAATCAGATAAGCAGGCTGCTACAGTATCTGTCCACAGCTGGATACACAGAGACAGACAGTTTAAAAGTCATTTGAATGAATGTTGAAATGCTTGTGATTGATTCCCATGCAACTGGGAATAACAGTGCACCACCTACTTTGGAAATGAGGCCCACAAATTACCATAACGTGCCTTGATTAACATGCAAATCATGCATTTAGAGCCTCATCGTACTTACAAGTCTGACCTGGAAAGCTGCACCAAGCCTTTGAAGTTGTCTTTGTTTGAGAGTATTAATCGAAGTCAATTTTAAATGAGGATCAAACTGGACAAAACAGACCCATTATTGTGAGGCAAGCCTCTGGTAGTTCAGCTTGTGAAGTGAAGGCATTTCATCTCCAATTGAAATACCCCCTGCTGGTATTGAGATGGATCCTTATTCAAACAGGAAATGCACATTTGTGTGAAGACTTTAATTGTATCAACTGAGGGACAAAATTCAATGCAGACCTATCTAGATTAAAAAAAAATCTTAGCTTTCTTGAAGATTTCTTGTAGTTTTATTTCTTGAAATATTTCTCTGCATAGGATTTTTATGTCCTGCTACTGTTGCTAACTATTGCTGCAACTTTCCATTTTCTTATTATCAATCAACTTATTAGCCTGGTTGTTTTAGATGTATTTTCTTGCCACCAGCTTCAGTGAGAGTTTTTGTCACACCCCTGAATTACTTTCAATGTCCAATTTCAGCCCCTGTTGATAATGAATGAAGTAACATAATTTATGTAATACAAAATACTTTATGTCAAGTATCCAGTGCCACGTATTTCGGTTTTAAATTAAGTGATAACAAAGCCAGTACTTGCTATCTCAATATAAGCAAAGATACTTAGAATACTTAATGCAACCATAGCATGAAATATAAAGGAAATACATGGAGTGTCATGTATTATTTAAAATCCTAATTTGTAAAGCACAACACATGTCCTTATTCTGTACTTAATTCTTAATCATAGGCAAGATTAAACTGTTTTGAACAAAAAGATAATCACTGCATATATAGCGGGTATTACTAATTTAATGTTTGTACATATAATAAGACACCATTGTTATCTGTTAGTCTTGCACATATTTATGGGTCCTTAAACAACATTCACATAAATAGTTTAGAAAGACTTACCCTTTTTATGTATTCAAGTATGAATAAAACGTGATGTAATTTACTTTGAATGCAAGAAATTGGCTGTTTTACCCTGTTGGTTATTAGTATGTTTGGGCTCCTGTGCATAGTTAGCAGGAGGGCTCCCCTCTGACAGCCACAAATTAGATTCATAGTCCCCTCTCAACAACATCCCACTATCTCCCCTTCATGACAGCAAATCTTGCCCGTATGTCTGTTGACATGATAGAGATAAACATCCCGGTATTATTTTTATTTGTTTGTTTTTTTCTTTGCTGAACATGACTCCAGCAAGGAGTTTGTTTTCAATATTGAAGCAAACCTGTCTACTGCAGTGGGAACTGGATTTGATGTCATTGATCTGCATGGCGCGCTCAGCCAATATTCAGCAGGTGGACTGAGGTGTCATACTGTTTGCTGTGGAGATACTTAATATGCAGCCCTGGTCAGAGTTCCAAAGGCGACTTATATTTCCCTACGGAAAAAACAGTAAAATGGTCGGAAACCAGTTGATGTTTTTCATTTATTGCCCTCTGTGCGTCCCCTGTAATTCTCCTGCACCCTGAGCTCAATTAGACAGACAAACCCCTGAAGGCACAGTCAGCTTAGGCATGGCCAATTAGTTTCCCAAGCGATGTCAGAACTCCTTTGAAATGCCGTGTCGGCCTGTTGCACAGCCACTGATTCGGGTTGACGGTGCTGCAGTGGCAAGCCTCTGCTCTGTGACCTATTTTGAATCCAGGAAAAAATTGCAGAGGTTTGTGGAGGAATTCTGAAACTTCCAGCCCTGCGTTAGAGTGGAGCCTCTAGATACTGCCTAACATGATGTTCTCCCAACAGATATCACACAAGACTCTTTAGATAGACAACAGACGTCACTCTGTCTCTGAACAATTGAAATATTTATTCTGAAAGTAGGCCCTACTGTTGTTTTACTGGCATGCTAATCGTTCTTCTGTGAAAGGAGTGAATGCAAATTAATACTTGGTGGCAACTGTCTCTGGCTGTCTGTCTGAGTGATAATTAAATGAATGTATGCACCTTGAGAGTGGTTTCTCAAGTTGAGAGCTTTGTGTGGAAAGATACCGCTCTCATGTGGTATGATTGTCACTTGACACTTTCTTCCTCTCAGGCAAGGGACCGGAGATTCTTCTTGTAGGCGAAAAGCTGAATGACAACGAGTGGCACACAGTTAAAGTGATGCGACGTGGGAAGAACCTTCAGCTGTCTGTAGACAATGTGACAGTGGAAGGTATAAAAGTGAAAAAAGGAGCTCCGCTGGGAAAGATGCAGATGCTGGAAGCCGCTTAAACATGATGCTGTGTTTTGTAGGCCACATGACCGGCGCCCACACCCGGCTGGAGTTCAACAACATTGAGACCGGGATCATGACAGAGCGCCGCTTCATCTCAGTGGTGCCTTCCAATTTCATTGGCCATCTGCAGGCACTTTCATTCAATGGATTACTCTACTTAGACCAGTGCAAGAACGGAGACATCTCCTACTGCGAACTCAATGCTCGATTTGGCATGAAGCACATTGTTGCCAATCCTGTAACTTTTCTAACTCAAGCCAGCTACCTGGCCTTTTCCACTTTGCAGGCCTATGCCTCCATGCACCTTTTTTTTCAGTTCAAGACCACCAGTCCTGATGGCCTGATACTTTACAATTCTGGAGATGGTAGTGACTTCATTGTGGTGGAGCTGGTCAAAGGGTAAGCGAGGTTAAACTCTCCTAAAGTCCTCATATAGGACGGGTCAGAGGGTTAAATAGGCCCATTCAGCAAATAATTTCAGTCTTAATGAACTTTATATTTTCTTATTTTTATCCATTTTTAACTGGGAGGTTTTCTTTTTTACCAGACTATCAATAACAAGAGCACCAAGTGAAACAAATGTCCAGGTCTTTCTTGTTCCCCTTAGACATGGCTCATAATGGCATCCTGTAAATTACCACACTCAAAAACAGCGAGAGGGAAATGTGTCATACAAATCAATCACACAAGATATCACACTTCCTGCTGCTGAAATTCTTAGTTGGGCTCACAAAGAAAAAAACTGGTTTATTGTTTATAAAAACTTAACTTACTTAACAGTTAATAGGGTGTTTATATGGTTACTTTACAAAACCTGTGTGACCTTAACATATACCATTTTACAAGTCTGTAATCTTAGATAAAATGGTTGTATTTGGGAGAGCCCTCCCAAATTCACATTATTGCAGCATTATACGGAGTAAACTAAACCATTAAAATGAATAGTTCTTTCTAGATTATTTTCTTCCAGGGGGACGAAAAAAGAGACGAAGCATGAGTTCCTGTATGCAGGCTCTTTCAGGATTTGAACAGCACAAATATTTTGTAAATGTTTATTCATTGTTGATAAGTTTCACTGAAGAGAACAGTCACAAAGAGTCTGTGAAACAGAGCCAGCAAAGCAACGACTCTTTCCTCCAACTGTCAGACCACGCAGACTTTCTCCCAGTATCAGTCAGCAGGAGGCCTTATTCAGATAGGGAGTCAGGAGCAGAAGCTTGCCGAGTCAACACAGACAGAAATTGCTTCCGACACTTCTGTCAGAGCTTTCTGGCTGCTACGCGTTATGTGTGAAGTGTTGGGTGTTATTAGCGGATGGTGCTTAACTTTGATTTTTAACAAGATGTGGTTTGGATTATCTACAATGTGATGACTGTATTTAGAGTCAACACACTGACACTACCACATATTTTGTAGGTGTGTTTGCTTGGATTCATATTTTTTATTCAAATGGTAGGGAAAAGACTTCAATAGAAATCTGTGGTTTTGACCCCCTGCAGTGGTAGTATAAGGAAACCTACTGGGAGACAGCAGTGCATGCAACCCATGGCCTGGCATCTAGTTAGAAATATGTATTATGCTGTTCTAGTCTTACAAGCATTGCTCGTTTGAATTTCCATAGTACACCAAACTGATTATTCTCAGTTGTAAATGGTGAAAATATGACCAAAAAGTCCTATTAAAAAGCACTGATAGTAAAGTCATGTTTTTGCTCTGTAGGTACATTCATTATGTATTTGACTTGGGAAACGGGCCATCACTGATGAAGGGAAACTCAGACAAACCACTGAATGACAACCAGTGGCACAATGTGGTGATTTCCCGTGACAACAGCAATGTGCACATCCTCAAGATTGATTCCCGTATTGTCACACAGCATGCCAACGGAGCACGCAACCTGGATTTAAAGGGTGAGCTCTAAGTAACAGTGCCTTTTTGCATCAGTTGTCCACAGAACCTTTTGTTTGCATGCGTGCTTCGTGGAAAAACAAAACAAACATATGCTTTGTAATTTAATTTAACTTGCACCGTCTTGCTTCACAGCAACACATTCTTTGAGTCTGAGAGAGCTCCTCATTGCTCACTTTGCTCTCTTTTAGGGGAGCTATACATTGGAGGGGTTGGGAAGAGCATGTACAGTGGTCTGCCCAGACTGATAGCCTCCAGAGAAGGGTACAAGGGATGCCTGGCATCTGTGGACCTGAATGGAAGACTCCCTGATCTCCTGGTGGATGCGATCCACAGGGTGGGGGATGTGGAGCGTGGCTGCGGAGGTGAGCACACACATGCACACACAAAGAGAATGCTTTTCTTTAATCTGATCTCCTTACATCTCAACAAGGCCTGCTGTTGATGAAACCAGGGGAACAGGCAACTGTGCACTGAAAGTTAATTACCTCCCATTTGTCATGGTATTAAACAGCTTTGTTCAATGCGCCATTACGTTTGGCCACACAATAAATCCTGTTGATTTATTACTTCTGATTAAACTGTACAAACTCACAGGTATAAGCATAAAGTGCTTGTGCAGTCAAAGTGTTCAGCTGCTTCCCTCTAACAAAGAGAAGCACTCTGCTGACAGCAGAATTCTGCAAAGACTCAATAATGTCAACTAATCTCCCCAAGTTGCCATAGCTTAAACAAGAAACCTTGCACTTGCGACAGCAGAATAGTTAGTTGATAGTTAGAGGATCTTTAATTATCTCTGAAGGGAAATACATTTGATGTAGTAAATGCTCAAGTGCTGTTCAATATAACAGACACAGGCAGAGATGCATGAAAGTACAGATTTGTGTTTATTGTCAGCATGTCACAGTTAACTGCCTGGTTCACAGAGGCCTCCATGTGGCCATTAAGGATGGCTCAGTCTGGAACTCTGCACATATCGAATAAAAAGATTTTCTCTTTAAAGCAAATCTTCATCAAGTCAAGGCCAACCTTATTATTGTTTATAGTTTGGAAGTCTCAGTGTTAAGTTTAACCAAGATTCACAAGGAAGAAAAAAGAGTTTATTTTAAAAGTTTGCTTCGTTACAGGCAGTTTATCTGAAAAGTACATTGGATAATTTAAAGTTATTTAAAATTTTATAGAACATTACATCATTTTTTTTAGGTCAATGTTGGCTGAATGTCTATTTTTTCTTTTTATAAGGAAATTGGATGACATGTAACAAACATATAAGTTTAAAACAACCAGTTTTCTGTTATACATTGTCAATGTTATACAATCTGTCTGATGTTCCTTTCAGTGAGGTAAAAACATGCGAAACAAATCTGTAATCCAGAAGGTCGTCATCTAGATTACATTAAAAGTAGTTTTTTTTTCAGTGGGTGAATTTGTTATGACTTAAACTCAGCGTGTCCTGAATGTGTTTATACCTTTGACGTCTGCATGCATGTTTAAAAAATAATCTTCTGCAATGAATTGGGCATCCACAAGTCTCTAAAAATGGACTAATCAGAAGGAAGAGAGCTTCTAGATGTTTGAGGAGATATTACACGGACAAGAGCTGCAACTTCAAATATCAGTTCCTGCATTAAGGACTGTTTTAAAGGCATATCAAGAAGTGACATAAATTAGGTTATAAAGAACAAAAACACCTTAAATGCTATCCAGCCATTCTCTACTTACAATTGTAGATCTTTCTCTGGGTTGAATTATTTGTCCAGAATAATATCTGCCTACCCCTAAAGAACATGGTTATTTATCAGATATTATTATTTAGAAGAGCCACTCTGATGTTATTCTTATTTATGCATTCATTTCTTCTCGTTTTGCTTCTTTGAGGTGAGTTCTATTTAAATGGTGTTGGGATCTTAACATTTGCCCTAGTTTGTTGATTCTGTTCTGTTCTATTGTTCTCTGAACATGATAACAAGAAATGGTCACAATAATACAATGTTTTGTTCAGCAAAGAAATGGAGAAGAATAATTTTGACTCATTACAAATATTTTCCATGGATTGTTACACACTATAATATCAATAACAGTAAAGACAAGTCTTTTCGCGATCTTTTTTTACTTGGCATACACATATACCCTAGTGGAACCCCAGAGTCAATGGAATAGAATAGAACTTTTTTCTTTGTCCCTCAGTGGGGAAGTTCCTGTGTGTCGGCAGGCCCTGTGACAGAAATAAGCAATGATAATACAAAATAGAGATACAAGATGACAAATAAAAATAAAGGATAAATACAGAAAGAAAAAGGATTGCATTTTGCTGCAGTTATAGTTTTTGATATGCGCAAAAAACGTACCATTAGGTAATTACTTACATCTCATTAACCTCTCCTTGCTTCGAGGTGAGGATGCATGAACTAAAGTAAAACAGCATAGGTTGATGCACTACAAACACCCTGCAGGTCCCAGCACAACCTGCACAGAGGACTCCTGCCACCATCAAGGTGTGTGTCTGCAGCTGTGGGAGGGCTTCTCCTGTGACTGCACCATGACCACCTACGGGGGACCTTTCTGCAGTGACCGTAAGTAACCAGGTTTCACACCTGAGTGGGAGGATATTTCTCTGATTATCTTTGAGATTATTTTTACCACACAACAGCAACTGTCAAGAAAGAGGCTTGTATATATATATATGTATACATAGTTCTGAATTGTGCTTTAACTCAATAATAGGAAACTCAACTCAACTTTTATGAGAAGCTTTTCTCACATAATGGTAAAAATTGTGTTTATTGGTCTAGTCAATGGGAGCTAAGCTTTATTTTGGGCAGAGTTGTTTAGAAAGAGTGCAGGAATTCTGCATTTGTGGCAATCATTAAAATAAGCTGTTATGCAATATTCATCGAGGGGAGGAATGTGCATTGCATTCTCAAAACTCTGTTGGGGGTAAGATAATAATTTTTTCAGACATAAAGCCTATACAGATAAATAAATAACACATGGTCAGTTATCTGTATAAGCATAATTATTCACACTAATAGCAGTTCTGAGTTTAAGCATAAAATTAACTGGGTAGATGTGCGCACAAATAAAAAGATCTGTTTCTTTTTTTTAACAGGAAGAGGATGTATTGGTGTTATTTATTTTTAAACGTTGTTCTACCATAATACAATTTTGTTGCTGTAAATAATGGCCTCCGGGCATCTATATCAGTGGACCTTGAAAATCACTGCATAATATGCTCATCTTCTCTTACTTCTCAGTGGGAAAAAAGCTCATTTGTTCAGTGTAAACAGACTTTTTGAATCCCTTGCTTGAGTGAATTGAATTTCATATGACTTTAGTCCCGCACAAGTTGATCCATTATGTTCTCTTATAATATCTATTTAATTTCACCTTATTTCTGAAACACACAGATAATAGTTCTATTCATCTGTTGTTTGCGTAAGCAAACACCAACCTGTCCTTTTTCATAACCAATAAAACATGCTGTTGATCTTCATTAACCTTGAAGAGGATTTCAGTTAAGAGCACGGTGATGATATTATGTCGTTCAGCTTTATTTATAAGTTTACATAAAAAATGAAACACCTTTAGGTAAACAGTAAAAACATGTTGCTGACATCTTTGTATTCCTTTTACAGTAATATATTTATTTTAGGGAGACAGATGCTAGATGTGACTTTTAGAACCACTTTGAAAATGAACCTCTATTAGTTTTGGATCAGTTTGGTTCAGTCACTAAATTCAATCTTTTTTTGGTTAAAAGCCTCAAGACATATAACTTTTGCACCCCACAACTTTTATTTGTTTATTTCAAATTTTCCTCAGCAATGTCTTTTTATTCATGCAAAAGCCCTCGATAGAAACACTTTTTAGATTACAGCAAACATAACAAAAATCCAATTTCGCTGCAGCATTTTGGGTTCTCATCTCTCCGTGTTCTGGGAGGGCTCTCAATCATGTGGGTGGTAAATGGCATGTCTGGCCAATATCAAAGGTCAGACCAATACATCAGTCCAACTCAGAGGAAATAAGAAGCTTCGTGCTTCATGTTGAGCTGCTTCTAAAATCATTAGAACAAAGGAACTGTGACTGTAATATGAAAACATGTATGTAGGCAGAGCATAGCTATGTAACCATGAGTATAATAGACCATGCCAATAGTCTAATTCCTGTTTCATCCCAGCAACTTTAAAATACAAATAAAATACCCAATTGTGTCCAAAAGCTCAGCTACATATTTTAAAAAACAAGTATTAAACAAAGAATGGCTCACAATACTTCGAGTTGTTTTAAATAAGTCAGATTTTGTAAACCTACCAAATTCATTTACATAATTTGCAACTCAGTACATTGATATTCCTGTGCAGTAATCAATTTTCCGAGTTTGTGGCAAACACCTGTTCTCATCACCTCCAGGTCATTGTTTCATCACCATCTCCAGCATTGTCTGAAATGATATTCAGCGCTCAATTTCCAGAGCTTTTTCCTGTAAACAGAAGGAGTGTGTAATTATTGGTTAACCTCTGCAGCATATTCATTATCTGCATCAGTGTGTGTGTGTGTGTAAGGGAGAGAAGGAAAAAATAAATAAAACTTCTATTCTAAAACCAAAAGCACATTTTTAACTCATTCTAATCTTAAGCACTAGTGAGGTATATGCGTGTATATATATGTATATATGTATATATATATATGCATATATAATTATTTTGTGACAAAAACATTTTACATTCAAATTTAAATTTATATGCAAACAAATAAAGCGATTTGTGGTGACAAGTGCATGACACGAACACTACTGTGTTGAAATGCATGATTGGTAATGCCTGATTCTGTGTCGCACAACGGCTCCCATCCACGGTCATGTGTGTCCTCCCACTCATCCCAGTCATGTCAATATACAATAAGCACCCCACACACTGAACAAACACATGAAATTCCACCTGACATGGCTTTATGTATCTTCAGTGCTCACATCCATCAGCTACCTGCCGACCGGAAGCGTCCTTTGCTGTAATATTGCTGTAATATTATGATGATATTTATGGTTTCAAGATCCTTGGGTATGTATCACATGTGGGGAAAAAAAAGGAAAAGTGTTCAGTTGAAATTCCCAACAAAATCTTATTTTCCTTTTGACCTTCATTTAATTTCAGGTATCTTTTACAATTATGAGTAAGTCCGAGCAGCCGCACGGATAATCCAGGATAGAGTTTCAGACTTAATCTGGTGCCCTGGGACAGAGGCTCAAGAACACATATTACCGTTCATGACATGGCGACCTACCAGGAATAGACTCGAGAGCCATCACTGAGTCTGGACTATTAAAAGTCAAAGAACTAGACATGCTTGGGATTAAGTACAAAAAATCTTTAAAACTCCATCTCTGCATCCTTCACCCACACTGTGAGATGCTCATTTTTAAATAGACAATTTGAAAAGCAAATGCTCTCATGTCCATGAGAGCTGTGTGAGGAGACTTTGTAATTAAAGCATGCTCCATTCTGCATAGCCTTAAATCTATGACATGACACTGATGCTGCCCATTCACTGTACACCCATATGTAAATGTTTATATTCTATGTCCGTCTGGGTACTGTGTAAGCAGGTATCTCACCACAGCATATATTTCACAGCCTAAGCTAATCTAACATCAAATCCAGTACAGTGTGGGGAAACTCATATGTTATATATTCTTTGGGAAGTATGGCTATCTGTCTACTGAACAAAGGGATGAAAAGGATTTGTGAAGATTATTACTGTATATCTGGCTGCCATGCTTCAACATAGGATTTTCAAAAAGGTCTGCCTGTGCATGTGTAGTATCAAAGTGTGTTTATGTTGCTTGAACTCAGTAGCCATTGTTTGTTTGTTTTTTAATGTTCTTGTGGGGTTTTCTGCAATTGGTAAGGTGTTAAAAATGTCAGATTCCACAAATTGAACAGAGCGCTATGCATAGGGTATGTTAAGCCTCTGATATCCTCAATAAGATACAACAAACAATGTTTAATTTTTCCTTTTATGTTTGCTTGGTGTCAGAATTCTAATAATCAATTATTTGTAAGAAGATTATACAAAAAAAGAATCAAATTTGAAGAAACAAAATTAACGACAGAACGAGAGCATGACCATGACCAACCTAATCCCAGTGATAGAGATGGCTCAGGGAGGTTTAGTCTCGTATAGTTAATAAGCTAAAGTGAAGGTCTACCAAAGGAGCAGGACATTAAACTGATAAGACAAAGCTCCATGAGGATGGGTGTACTAGTGTGGTTTTTAAATTTATAACAGAGAAAAACTTGAAATGCATCCCAGGTATTTGCACTTATACATCCACATTCCATCTATTCATTTCCATATGAATAATCTGATATTTGAACTACAATCTGTACAGGACTTGTAGGTAGATTATGCAACTCCTATTCTTGTCTGTCACAGAGCAGTTTTTGATTGATGTCTGGATTATAATCCTTTTGCAGTCTTCATCAGATCCATAAAATTCAAAAGGTCCACCCATTCAGGTTCTTTCCTCATTCCTTTTCAAATACCCTCCTATTCTGAACTTCTGAAATCTCCAAAATAAAAATCATCCCAGGTAGCTCCACAGATTTGCATCAGTTGTAGGCCAGACAGTGTGTTACATAACTTTTCCTATCGCGATTAACCGGAATGTTGGCATTTTTTGGAAAGCGCCATCAATGATCAGGGCCAATTAGTTTTGCTCTCTATTCAGCGATATCTGATAGAACATGAAGCTGCGGCTCATAGTGACACTTCCACAATGACTCATACTGTTTAACAAGCTGTCAAGGAAGTACGGGAGTTGCAAGTCTGCAAAGAAAGGGATAAGACTCTTCCAGGAGCTGTACACTTAAGATTACGAGAGGACACAATAAGGGCTTTAAATTCATATGACCCAGTTTAGTTTAACAGTGATGATAAGTACCAAAGGAAAAAAAGGATTGTAGATACAAAGAATCTTAAAAATATCACATTTAGTACTATTTCTAATGTATAATCCATAAAAAGTATATGATTATTGTATGTTGAAGAATCTGTTTAGACAATATCATAAATGATATGTCATCAGTGTGATGAGTAAAATGGAATCACTAAAAACAACTACAATATTATCTGATTAAATAAAGTAATGATAAGTCACAGAGTGGAATTTAATTTGCTCACCTGGTGCTCTTCTTTACAAATGCATTTGCTTTCTGTCAAGTCAAGCATCAGAACAGAGGAAGCCCATGATTTTCCTCTAAAGCCTGAGTGGAGCTATCACAGAGTCATTTTCAACAGCAAATAACTGCTCAAAAAATGGCTCTCGTTCTGAGCACCACTGTCTGAGTTCAGCCTCCACTCAGCCCAGGATTGTTTGCCGTTTCCAGAAGAATGTTCTCAGCCACTACTGTCCCTGCTGTGACCTCAATTTTCCTAGATCTTAGTGGTTTCGCGTTCCTCTTGATTAATGCAATATTTAGAAAAATGCTGCATGTTGCATTAACCTGCTACGTGTGTGCCAGCATACTAAGCCTTTATATCACCAAGGACGTGTTATACGGTGCTTTACAA